CTACAAGCCATATATACTTATTATGTGTGTTTTTGCATTATTGATTCTCTGAAATTTGCTGTAGTGTACCATTTGTTTTAATAAAATCTATTTGAATCTACTAAAACAAATAAACAAATGGATAAAATTATTGTTTATCAAAAAAAGTAATAAAGAAACTTTAAAGTATATAAATATGGACTGAGATTGATGTATCAAAAAATTTTGCAACATTAAAAATAATAAACTTTATACATTTGAATAATAAATTCTTTAAAAACAATGCTGTTTAAATTGACTACTGCTTGTGTGATCAATTCAATCATTAACACCAAAGGAACAAAATTAATTATTTCACAATAAAAGCTATTTGTTTGTTTATTTATTGTTGTTTTTTGATTTTAGTATTAATGCATGGTTTCTATTCATAATACAGTCAGAACTTGTTAAACTGAAGTCAATATTTTCAAAAAAAAACTTCAATTTAAAAAACCTCAATAAAATCGACTTATTGAGGCAATTTGATAGGTAGATAATAAAACAACATTGGTTTATCATGTATATTCAGTTTATCAAAGCATTGTCTTAATGAGTTCTGACTGTACGTTTCATTCATTTTATTTGTTTTATTTGTTTTATTTGAATTATTTTTTACTCAAATTGTTTGTTTTATTCAAGTAAACCTTATTGGAATAGAAACCCTAGCTACTGCTCAAGATTATGATATTATTTTAGTATTGCAATTGAGAAAGCTCCTTACAAAGAGCTTTAGAAATATTTAACCAATAATTTAATTACAATATAAGAGTTATTGGTTTATTGAATTAAGCCAATAATTAACTAAAAAATAGGATTAATTTTAGAAGAATATCTGATAAAAATACTAAGAATATTATTAACTTATCAGTATGCCAATACCTTAATTATTTTTTTTAAAGAATAATCAGATTCTGATATTTACTGATACCCCATTACCCAATTTGGCATCATTCAACCAGTAAAAAGAGGACCAATAGATTATGTATAAGCAAAGAAAAATGGGACTCTAAATTAGCACAAAAGAATTTTAAATCATGCACAAACATAACAGACAATTGCATCACCCAGGTAGTAATAACACCAAGGCCATGCATAAACGAAACTTTTAATAATGCCTGTCTACCCAGATCTCTGGGGTTCACAAAATAAATTACTTTTCCTGATTATCAATTATGGTTGCTCATGAATAATAAATCTGATGTTGATTGCATGTGTCAGATTTAATTAAAGCTTTCCTGTCACAAACATGCAATAACCATGCTTTCACATGCCCCATAACTGTGGAATTTTCTCCACAGGTGCGCCGCACACATGTTAGAAGGCTTTGGACAAAACATACTTATCTTCTCCTCAGACCAGGCTTGGCTGTTATCATATGGGCATTGATTGCTGATAGCTGGCATTTGTGTGATGATTGCTTTGTGTTACACATCTCCAGTACAAAGTCAGTGATTGCTTTGTGTTAAAAATTCTCCAATGCAGAAAGGTTGTTGTTTTAGATTTTCCCTGATTTCAGTTTTGAGCCTTGGGTTGCTGTCTTGTCAGTGGCATGCCAACTCATCAATAATCCTACCCCATTTACTAAAATAACAAATTCAGTTGGCACTACAATTCATCAGCAGAGTTGCGACAGCTTGGTCACAGAGCCATCCTTACCCTAGAGGTGGGATCGTTGCAGGCGAATTTTCAGCCAGCATGCCAGCAGCCTTCTCTGGTCTGGGAAGATTAGTGAAAGTGTCATTGACGATTGATGCAGTCTTGGTAAACTCCAGAGCCATACGCCCCCTCCCCTCAAGTTCAGTTTCATCATCATATCATCAGGGGATGAGGTCAGATTAGCCTTATGTACGTGAGGAAGATGTGTGAATGACTGTAAGTGTTCAAGGTAGTGTACGTGCTTCAACACTTGTAAAATTTCCGATAATCAAACATCGCATTTCGAATTGTTTCATATTCAATGGTGTATTGCCTTGACATCTTGTGATTATAATAATAATAATAATATTATTATTATTACGATTACGCAAAGCAAAACATTATCAATGAAAATCTTGTAATTACCCAGCAAGATCTGCTCCGCGTTTTGATTTCCAATTAAAATATTTATAAGCTAAAATAAAAGTCACCTCATACATATCAATACAAATAAAAAAAAGTACCTCTAGTTAGTTATTAACACGTTTTCTTTAGGAGACCCGAACCAAACCAAACAACAACACTCACGTTTTGTCACCTTGGACACTGTCAAAAAATAAATTGTTTTTTGTTTTTTCCAAAAAAAAAAATCAATAAATACGCATCTGTCCTCCCAAAAAAAAAAAACCAATAGGATAAATAATTAGTGTGTACGCGTCGATCAAATCACAAACTTCTTTTAAACATGCCCAAAGAAAATAAAAAGGAAGCAAAAGTAACAATCAAGAAAACATCGCTGGGTAAGTGTTTTAAGGTTGGTGGTAGTTATCGCCCGCCACTCGTCGTCGTTACTCTAGTTTAAAGTAAGTTTAATTTGTTTATAGATCCTTTATTCAAAATGTTATTTATATTTTCTTCTAAAATAATTAATATTTATTTTAAAAATTTTTTTAAAGATATATATATTCAGAAACCATCAATTTAGATAATTTAGATACATCTGAAACTATTGAACTTCTTGAAGCATCTGATGAATTAGATTTTAAAACTACAGATTATATACAAAATCATCTAATTGATTTAACTTTGGAGAGAGAAGAATGGATCAAAAATAATTTTACTTATTTTTATCAAATATCATTAAGACATCAATCATTTAATTTGCTTAATGATTTCCTTGAAACATTGGTTATGAATAATCCAGAATTACTTCTAAAGTTCAATGATTCCAAAAATGTTGAAAAGCCAATATTAATATCATATTAAACAATGATGATCTTGCAATAAAGGAGATTGATTTTTGGGATTGCATAATCCAATGGGGAATTGGAAATTTGGAAAATTTGGAAAGAAAAAATATTAAAGAATGGAATAAAAATGATTTTAAGGAGTTGAAATTTTTACTAGAAGATATTGTTTCTTTAATTAGATATAAGGATATCTCTAGTGATGATTTTTTTACAAAATTGTACCATATCAAAAATTCTTTCCTAAGAATTTATGGAATGACCTTTTATGTTATCATTTAGTCCATAATCAAAACCCGATTTTAAATTTATTACCATCAAGAAATTCACCAAAGATGCTAGAATCAACAACAATCAATCCAGAACTTACTTTGCTTTTTGCAAGTTGGATTGATATAAAAAGCTCACCATACAATTTATTCAGTGAAGTTAAATATAAATTCAAACTTTTATATCATAGTAGTAGAGATGATTTAAATTCAATCATATTTAATGATAAATGTAACAAAATCAGCAAGTCTCTTGTAGTTGCTAAAATACAATCAGATCTATTAGTAAATTCAGATCAATTAGTTGGTGGCTATAACCCACTTGATTGGAATGGAGGTGGTTATAAAAATACAGACAAAAGTTTTATTTTTAATATTTGTAATATAAATGATATTAGTATATCACTTAAAATAACAAATGGGATATTATAAAGTTGTTAATTATGATCACATTACAAATGACTAAATTTTGATCCCTGAAATCTTTGGTAATACCAATGTTCACTTTGTCTGGTTTTGTTACAGCATGCCCCAAATTCTATATAAGGAATTAAACATAAAAAATGTAGTGGTTTCCCTAAAAAAATTACCAATGGAACATCAATTGCAATTGGCCAATATTTAAGATGGGATCCCTCTCTCTTCCTGAAAACTGGAAGTTAAATTGGCCGAAAAAGGTATTGGTGTGTCTTATAGAACTATTTCAAAGCATCTGGGTAGCTTGGGCGATAAGAACAACTTGCCATTAGCAACCCCAATGCTTACCAGTGCACATAAAGAAAGATGGGAAGAATGTGCTCATGCTCATCTTGATGACAACCGGAATAAGACCCCTCTTTTCAGATGAAACAGCATTCCAGTTGTTCAGTAACATCAATGGTATAAAGGCACATGACCAATTCATCCTATTCCAAAAATTGTGTAAAAATTTTTGCCTGGGGTGGATTTTGTATGAAAGGAAAAACAAGCCTTTTTTGCTTTCAGCAAGAAAATGATCCTAAGCATACTAGTCATGTGGTCAAGGAATTTCTTCAGGCCAATGTGCCTGAGGTTATTGACTGACCATCCAATAGTCCTGACCTCAACCCATTGAGAACCTATGGAATATCATCAAGACCAATGTGGAAAGATGGCAACCAAAAAATCTTGATGGTTTGAAATGTTTTGTGATTGGAGAAGGGGAGAGTATCCCAGATTCTGTTATAAAAAAATTTAATTGGAAATATTGCAAAGTAGTTATTGAATGAAACGGTGAACAAATATCTTATTAAATTTTTTAATAAAATTTACATGTTTTATAGATTTAAATGAGCCATTTTATGAATGATTTACTTTAATGGTTGCTGAATTATTGCAAATTTACAGGGGGCAAGATTTTTCTTCCCATACTGTAACTGACAGTAAAAAAATAAAAAAATGACAAAAGAGGAAAAAAACAAGAAAAACAAAAACAAATGCAGCAGAAGCATCCATGTAAGTATTAATAGAAATCAATCATTGGTTTAGGCTCTAGATTGTTAAAACAAACATATGTATTATTTTAATCTAATAATTTCTATTGTATTAACATCTCGGCCTTGGGTAGTAGTAGTAAATGACAATAGGTTAATTCTAGGCCCTATTGATAACAAAGTTAATTTGTCATCATCATCTCCACTACCAAATATATGAATGAGGATTAAGAGAATGAATAATCGATCAATTTGCATCTGAATACTTGGACCATAATGATCCAATCATGTCACTATCATAGACACTGCTCATCCACATCCTTGGCTGAGAAATGGCTTCACTGATCAGAATGGATTCAACCAGTTGTTTAGTAAATTCAATCGACAATAGTGATCTTGATCTTTATGAAATAATAAATGAATCAATATGAATCAAATATGAAAGAAATTAAAAACCACTTGTAAGGTTTATACATTTTTCAATATATATACACACCAAATATTTGTAACTAACAAATGTGCTACTATCTTCATAGAAATGGCAAATATTCTGAAAAGGGCAAATATCTTATAACAAGGTAGTTGGCAGAGTCATTGTATCACCATATCATACAATCCGGATGTAATATATCTGTCTGTTTATTGTTTATTTCATAACCATTTTAGGAGTTGCGAAAGAGTAGTGCCGAAGAAAAAAAAGATCAAAGTAGTAGTGAGGAGAAAAAAGAAATGTATATTTCTAAAAAGTGATTTTTACATCAACAAATTAACAAACAATTTTTTTTTATAATTTGTAGGAAAAGAAAGTATGGAAGAAAACCTGATTTCACAATCTTGACGAAATGGGATTATAAGGATTCCCCAAAAAACGCATTCCTTGTAGGTGAGGCCAGCCCCATACCATGGAAAATAAAAAATTATCCGTTAAAAAAAAAAAAAATGCTAAAGGACAATTACGATTATTTTTTATAAATATAGTAATTTGAGTCGAAAAGTATTGAAGTCTATGGTATACTTGTCAGATTTATTACGAGTATTTAAGAGACTGATGGTAAAAAAAAATTATAATTCATCATAATAGTCTTCATAGTCGGCAATGCAGCGGCACATGGAACAGACTGTTATAGTATTAATGATAGAAATAATTAATAATTGAAAAATTTCGTCATATAAACTAATAATAATAATCCACTGTAGTAAAAAATTTTTAAGTGTTCAGTTGTTAGTCTTGCTATCTCATAAATGGTTACAACAAGACTCTCCCGACTCGTAGCCAAACTTGCTGACTTAAAGCAATAATTCTTCACACCTTGAGAGTGTTAGTTCTTTAAAGCATACCTGACCCGTTTGAGAATATGAACATGAAGAAATTGTTATTATATACCCGAAAAAAAAAACCCAAATTTATTATTTTTTTTACCTAATATGATTATATAATCATTATAATCATGGAAAAAAACATCAAAAAATTTTAAGCGTTATTATGACAATAAAAAATTTTTTCACATGTAAATTTTTTATATTCCCCCTGAAAAATATTTTTTTTTCAAAATAACATTTTAATGGATTATAATCATTATAATTCTCGTAAAGTTTATAATCAACCTTTTCCAACTCAAAGTTCATACAACAGTAGAACAATTTATGATCCAATGATAATGAATCCAGATCAAGCTTCTTCGTCTTCAAATAATCCAAATACTCTTCACCCAACTTCTCTACACCCTCTCTCACCAACTTCCAACACTTCTTCAAATAATAGTATGTATCTAACAACCACAATCAATACAGATGATAATAATTTATCTGAAAAAGACATCGCAAAAAGAGTTCATAGTAGTTTATATTCAAAGAGAAAAGATATTCAAAATAATGTTATTAGGCATTTTTATGATACAAATGCTGGTATTTATTATTTTTTGATTTTTCATATTTTTCATATTATTTTTTGATCGACTTTTAATTTCCATCATTTTTTTTTTATAGTTTTTGAAAATCCTCTTTTATTGGTTGAATCCCACGAGGATATAATTAATCAGTTCATTTTATTATCAACATTTTTTCAAAGTATAAAACCAGAAGTTCATAGTATCACTGATTCAGCAGTAACTGGTGGTCATCATATAGTGGTGATAGATGCCGTAATAAAATATCGTTTTCCGATTAGATTACCTCCAATTCCATGTCCACTTTTTATATGTAATTTTTTACCATTTGGTTGGCATAGAACTCATCACTCAAGTATGTTTCATTGTTCGAATAATGAAATTGCTTTGAGAATAATATCAAGGTTTGAATTCAATGAACAAAACAAAATTGTTAGACATGAAGATATGTGGAGTATTAAAGATTTGTTTGAAAGTTTACCATTGGTTGGCTGGATTTATGCCGAAGTTTCTAGAAAAGTTAATGGGATGATAACTGGCGGTATTGTTGTGTTGGTTAGTGAATTGGTCAAAGAATGGAATGAATGGCATGTTTAATTTAATTTTCACATATGCGCACACATTTTCTTTTAAAAATTGTATGATGTAAAATAGAAAAAATAATTAGATTTATGTTTATTTTATATATTTATATATATCTTAATTAGTTGATTGGGTAATCTTGGTGATATATATTTATATTAAAAACATTTTCTATATTTTACTTAATTTGTATTTTAAAAAATAATAATAAAAAAGAAGAATTTAAATAAAATAAATTAAAATATGTCTTCGTTATCAATGTTCCATTTACAACTACCATTATTGTCCGTCTTCTCTCTACCAACTCTTTCTCTTTCTTTCCAATATTCATGATTAAATTTCCAATATTCCTCCCCTGTATCATCATCAAGTTCTTTTGCAAACCATCTAGATTTAAATTCTGGCATTGAATTAATTTCTCTCAATTTCCTTTTTTCTCTTTGTTTTTCCTCTAATCTATGCTTCTCAGAACTTGCCATTTCGTAATCACCCGTTTCCATTGCTCTTTGATCGGGCCTTAATCTTGAATCTGTTGGTGCCAACCATACTTTTAATGATTCAGGTAAATCGTTTAATGTCATAGCAAATTGTGTCAAATTAAATGGTAAAGGCTCTTCAGGCTCTGAATTTTTTTTCCATAATAATACAATTGGTCTACGTTGTGGTAGAATTGGAGATGTTGGTAATGATATAGTTAGATTTGATGATGATGAATGAGTAAAAGATTGAGTTGCCGGTAATAATGTCGAATTCCCCAACAATTCTTCTATTAATTTAGCATTTGATGCTGCCATATCACTACTCAGATCTTCTTCACTTGTCGAAAAACTTAAATTATTACCAATTCTTCTAGCAACCAATCTTTCATTCCATCTGCCAGCTATCTCCCAAATTTCTTTATTATCTTTATCTTTAACAACTCCTCTAATTTCAAATGCGTCTCTACCTCTCCAACCTCTTGCTTTAAAAGTCAAAATACATTGATCTTTTGTTAAATGATTTGTTATAACCATATCACCATAATGATCAATCCATGGCTTGCCTACTATTAAGTTGTTCACGCATGTAGTAACTTTTTTCCATGAATAATGTTCTGAAAATGCTTTTGGGTTACCAATAGCTTGAAAATCTTCAGGTGACTTATTAACATGCGCGGGGAAGTGTTCTTTTAAAACTTTAAGCTTTACATGAGAAACACCTTGTGGTAAAATTTCAAATGATTTTCCCCAAAATTTGGATTTTACATCCACTTCAGCATAAAAATCGTAATTAGGAGATTCACAATAACATGCACTAATTGGCTATAACAAATGAATAATTAATTAATTAATTAATATATATGTGTGTGTGTGTTGTTATATTAAACATTCAAGATTATATGTAATGGATAATAAATATTTGTTTGCTTGTTTGTTTGTTATGTATTAAATTCATTTACTTACTGGGTGATGACTGACTTGTTCAGATACATATCGGAATGCTTTATCATGACGAACATATTCGTATGTTTCACCCTATATATATAATTATGTAAATGAGTGATTATTAAATAGAGTTTTTTTTTTCAAAATTTATGCATATTTAAAATTTAAAATACATACATATATGTATTATTATTATTACACATACCAACAAGGGATTGAATGGCTTTGCAATTCTACCAATAGAACTAGAATAATTACTCATAGCAAAAGCTGCAACGAATAATATTCGTTCTGTGCTGCCTTTTTGTTTGGCAGCAAGATCTAATAATTCACTATACTCCATATCTTCAGCCATGCGTTGTAACATAGAGGTGGGTTCATTGAAGTAGACAGGTAAAGTAATTTTACTTAAATCCTTACCAATAGAATTTTTTAATATAGTCCATAATGATACTGTAGGTTTTGTATTGTCTTTGTCCATTAAAAATTTGGTTCTATTTTGTTTAGGGTAGCCATTATATGATTCAAATATATAGGGCTTTTGAAATTCTTTAGATGCCGTTGAAATTGATGACGATGATGATGGTGATGATGATATTGTATTTTCTTCGTTTAAACTGGTTGTAATACTTGGCTCAAGGCCTTCTATAATCGAACCACCATCAATTGCATCATAGAATTCTTCATCTGAATCATATTCATCTGCTAATGATGACCGTTGCTCGTACGAAATTTTTTGTTCTATTAAATTGTTTGTTTGATTAATAGTACGTGAACTAATGTTAACATTATTATCTATCAATCGATCTTCATTTTTATCGTTATTATTGTCATGATTTGGATCAGTTTCATCTTTGGAAATTAATGACAATTTAGACATCATAGGACTAACAGGAGAGTTCATGGAACTTTCAGAAGCCATTGCAGCTTTTAATTGGCGTTTTCTTAATTTTTGTTCCTTCAAACTATTTTGTATAATTTCTTCCATTTCAGTTTTTTCAATCGCTAAAGCTTTCATACTTTCTTCCCATAATCTTTTGGTTTCTAATTCTTTTTTTAGTTTTCTTTGCCAATAATTGTCCCTCTCTTCTGACATCCTTAACACATCATCTAATAAATTTTGTAATGTTTGTAAAGATTTTTCAAAAACTTCTATGACATCTGATTCTTTGGGCAACATGGCTATCAATGTCTCTAATAATTGGTTTTGTAAGTTAAGCTGCGCTCTAATCGAACTTATGGCCATATGATATGTGTCCTCATGTGGTACACTATCAGTTTCAATCGAATCACCTGAAAGTGATCTTGACCTTCTACTTTCATGATGATGATAATCGTCGTTGTTATTATTATTATTATCATTATTATCGTGATGACGATGGTGTTCATCTATTTCATTTATATTATGATCTAATCTTTGTAAACTTCTTAAATCATCATCTTTACTAATTTCACGTGATGTCGGAGAAGTTGCTGTTGATTCGTCAGTATTGCCATGTTTATAATGATTTTTGCCCCATTCGATCGATTGTTGTAATTCTGTTATCCATTTCATTGCTTCTTTAGGGCTGTTTGCTCTTAGATGATATCTTATTGAACCTTTACCTATAATATCAAATCTTTGTCTATCTGTTGAATCAATGGAAACTTTTGCTATTTTCATATTAATTGAACCGCGACATGAATTCCCCGCATCATCTTTGTTTTGAAAATATGATAGTATTCCTTAATAATAAATAGATTATTTGTTATTATATAAACAGAAAAGTTTTACGTTTGTTTAAAAAAAAACACATCTTACTAGTCAATATTTTATATATAATTACCATTTTCAAGTACAAACCATCTGATCTTATATCCGCCAGCATAATTTGTCCATTTGTTTAGATATCCCCTTAATATTGGTGGGTAATTCGATGAGGTAGAAATATTCAACGTAGTAGGTGTTGGTTTTACTAGGAAAGTAATAATAAATATTTTTTTATAAAACAATTTAAATAAAAATAATAAATAAAGGTAAATCATTAAACATAAATTATTAACCTTGTTTAAGTAAATTTTTAATTTTATCATCTTTGACCAAGTCAACAGCCATTTTACCCTTGTGATCTCTAATAGTTACATCTGCACCGTGATCTAAACAAAATTCCACCATTTCTAAATTTTTTTTCTTGGTCACTTCATGTAACAATGTTGTACCAGTTGATGGATCTTGAAGATTTATATCAATTAAAGCAACAACTCTTGGGGTTTGAAATAAATATTGAAGTGCTATATAATTAAAATCTGTTACATATTGATGAAATAATGTTGTTGTTTGCTCAATAAACTCTTGCTTGTTTACTATTTTTTAAAAGAGAGAAAGAATATATATATTATTGAGAAATTTCTGAAAAAAAAAATCATGTAATTAAAAATTTTAAAAGAAAATCACCATTAAATAAATCTATAATTTCTTGATTCTTTGCTAATTCGACAGGTGTTTTGCCGTAATTATTAGGTATCGTATCATTGATCTTTAACTGTTTCAACAAAAGTCCTACTACATCAATTCTGCCATTTTTAGAAGCATAGTGCAATGCAGTATTTCCAAATTGATCGGATTGGTTAATATTAATATTTGGAAAATTAGATAAAATATATTCTATAGTAGAAATTTTAGAACATTGCACTGCTAGTATTAATGGTGATGTTGTACCATTATTAGATGAATTGCCAGTAACAGAATTTGGAGTTGACACTTCATGTGATTGATATGTTGATAGAATTATTTGTAAATTTGATAAATCGTCTAAATAATAGCAAGTATAATTTTTTAATATATAATTTTTTAATAATTATTGAAAAATATTAATAATTTACTTACCTGCACGAAGCGCTTCTAGTAATTTATAAGTTTTTAAAGATTCTTCTAATGCTATTTTTTTAAAAATAGAAAAATAATGAGTGTATTTATTTAATTTTGAGTGTTCGTATGTATCCATTTATCTTACCTGTATTAGTAGTATCTTTCTTTGTTGTGATTCGTAAAGCAGGAGCAGAATTATTTTGAACCTTTTCAACTTGAGGTGTAGAGGTCATAATTTATTTACATAATTTATTTTTCCTAAAATGTTATTTACTGTCAAATTCAAAAAAAATTTGGGAAAATTTTTTCGCGAGAGAAAACTTGATCAATAAATTTTTGTATGATGACTGACTAATGTTGCAGACAAAGTGATACTAAGTACCACAATTGTACTATATACTAGTATAATAGGGCCGAAAAAAAACTACTATAATAATAATAATAGAACCCCGGATTATTATAATTGAAGTAACATCCATTTTGATAGTTTTTAAATTTTCATGTAACTTCAGCAAAGACTTTTTAATATTAATAAGCAGTGTGACTATTTGGGTATAGCGGAAAATTTTTATATCCAAAATCAGGTAAAGCAATTTTTATATGAAATTATGGGTAAACCAAAATTTTAAAATAACAGCTAATACCCTCCTGCTCATTACTAATAAATCATTGACAAAATTTTTATTATTATTTCAAATAATGTTATATTTCAATTATATTAATATGATTTTCTTAACTCTATAGATAAAAAATATATTGGATAATTTCTTCAATGGCTACATATGAAGCTACGTGTCTTATATAGGTAAAGAAAGCTTTTGGTTTTTTGACATGCTTAAAAGGGGTAAAAAATTTTCTAAAATTTACTAATACGTACGTAGTATTAGCCTGGATGTTTTGTTACCTCAATTATAATAATCCGGGGTCCTACTATATTAATATTAATATATATTAATATAATTCGGGTTAAAAAATGTTATTACGTATAGGGTCACTGACTAAAATACACCAATCAACTAGGCACTTTAATTTTACGGTCACATACAATAAGGCTTCTATTCGTAATACATAATATATATTAATATTAATATTAATTTGAATTATTCGTTTCATTCGTTTATTTGTTTTATTGTTTATTTGTCTCGTTTGTTTCACTTGGAAAAAATATCAATCACTTCTACTACTAATACTAATGTTATTATTACCACCACAAGAGAAAAAACAACTATTGTTATTATATCGACTAAAAAAGTTATTGATATTGCTTGATGCTTTTTTTCTTCGAATACTCGAAAATTAATTGCGAATCATCTAATTCGAATATAAGCCCTAACTTACAATAATTTTTCGCTTTTATTTTCTAACTTTTGAGCTTGAGCTTCTGTGTGTACTTTTCTTTCAGCCTTGAATAATGTTTTAATCATTTATTTCAGGTTCTTTCTTTTCTAATTCTTTAGCAAGGAGCCAAAAAGAAACCAAATCAATGATCCGCAAAAAAATTTACTATTGAATGTAAACATTTTCTTTAGAAATGTAACTTTATTTTGAGGCTTAATTGCTTGCTCTTTGTTTTTTTCACTTTTCGCTTTTCCTTTTCACATCCTTTTCGGCTTTTAACTGCTGATGCTGCCAGATCTTATTGTTTGCGATTTACTTGTGTCCTCGTTTCTTTCTTTCCTTCAATCGCTTAATAAAATTCTCATGATTTCTTTCCCTTGTTTTTTGGCTCTCATCACGTTCTGGTTTGTATTGATAGCATTTCTGTTTTCGTTTCTTGCAATCTAGCTTCTAATTCTTGGATTTCTTTATTTTGCTCTTTGATAATTTTTACGATCAATTTTTGCATTGACACTTTCTTTTTCAATCTATTCAATTAGCTGGTCATGTTTATATTTGGTTTGTTGTCTATTCTTTTATCTCATCGTTTAATATTTTCTAATTGGTTCATTTCACTTTGCATATTTACTATTTAATTGATGAACCTTTAAACGAATAATTGTCTTGTATACTTTACAACATTCTGGGGTACAAGTTTTGGGTAAACAAAAATAAATAATGATTCGTTCAAAAGTTATTTTATCTAACATCAGTTAGAATTATATAGACAAATAGTTTATTTTCACGAAATGTTATTAATACACGCGTAATAAATATTCATGTTTATTATATTAAAAAAAGGTCTTAAAAGCAAATAAGATATTAATACATGGTATGCTAAAATATCCACTGTGCTAATTTATAATTCTTTGTAATTTGATCACCACCAACTTGATCTTTTGTATCGCTCATTTTTTCAGAAGGTCCCTTAAATCTATCCCTTAGTAATGTGATATATGCATTTATTTTATCTTTAGTGATATCTTTGACGCTTTTGGTATTTTTGAATGGTCCTCGTTTATCTTTAGTGTTTCAGTTAAAGCCTCAAGTTGTTCGTTTGTCAATTGTTGCGTAGAAGAAACCTATTTAATCATAGCTTCCAATAATTGAAATTTTTGGTTTTTAACCAAATTATCGAAATAAATTTTAATGTAACGTTCATTTTCATCATATATTGTTCTCATAATTTTCTCTGTAACAGAACTGAAAAGGCCGTGTAAACTATTAAAATATTCACTGAATATATTTTTGATCGTAATATTTTTGACTAATATATCTAATGCATCTTGAGTTATTTCTTGTGTTAGCAATCTGTAATCATTAGCTGCTTCAATAATATAATCGGCTGTACTCACGAATTGGTTCACAAGCCAAGGTGATTTTTTATAATCCTCGTAAGAGAAGGGCATTGTCGATTTAACTGCGGATGTTGATATTTTCTTGTGTCGAGATATTATTTCTTGAATTCCATGTACTACAAGTATAAGCTGTGGCAGGACTCTAGTTTTTGAAATATTGTTGGTGGATTTATTAAATTCGTCAATAAACCATTCAATTGTATCGTTAATAATGTCTTTTAGAATTATGAATGTCTTATTGTATGGTTATTTAGTGCGTTGATTAGATTTTTGTTTACATTGGTTTGTTTTAGCTGTGAGTTGGCTTCGTCAAACATTTGTATTTGGGACATTGATCTTCGGTTAATCTCAACCGTGCGCTTCAAAATCTTGGGGAATCATAGGATTTGCAAAGATGTTAACATAAGAATCAATAAAGCATTGAGACTAAAATAATCTTTCTTTAATATCTTTAATAATTAATTGTTATATATTTATAACATAACTTTGCACGAATTTGTATTTCTGATGTTTTCAAATTAAAAGCAATTGTAATACTAAATAATAAAATCTTTATCAGTTAGAAAAAATAATTAAATTAATCTTATTTTCTAGGATGCCATTTTCTATACAACTTTTTAGACAAAGTATAGCTTGCACTGCTTCAAGATTTAACCTGTTTCTTGTTCTAGTGATAGTATTTCCTGCTACTGAAAATGTTTGTTCATATGGAATACCTGTGTGGCCTGGATTGTTAAATAATCTTTTGCTAATTGGAAATTCATGTTCATGAGTTTTTTACAAACTAATGGAAAATATTTCCATTACTTGGAAAGATAAATATCATTCAACTTCACCATCATCATTATTAGTTGCTGATATTGATTTTCACTATACATTAAGCAACGTCTCTTTAATTCTCTAAAATAATTTTTATCAGAAGATAAATTTTGTTACTGGTTTGAAGAACAACGAGGCATATATTTTTTAAATATTTTTAAATTGATTGTGAAAACAATTAAGTGCGGAATCAAGCTCAATGCCAAATTTAAAAATTGCTGATTTTGTACAAAGATTCAATGTTATAGGAAAAGTTGTCGCCAAGTCAATTATATTCCAATAATCATCTAATTTTGCATCTATTAAGAAGCTAATTCATATTGACTGAATTCATTCATCATCATGTATTTCTAAAATCATAAACTGAACATCAGTCATTGTAGGATAAGATGATTCTGAAAAGAAACTTAGCTGCCTTTTCCAAAGGTTCTAAAGAACAAATGTATCTTGTATATATTTACTTTAATTAGATTATATCTTAATTAAAATGAAATAAAGTTTTATAGATCAATTACACTATTTGCATCAGGTAAAAGATTTGAATGGATGCTTCTTCAGTCTCAACAAACGTAATGTCATCTCCATTTGCTGTTCCGCCTGTTTTTATATCAATTTCTGGTTTCAGTTAATCATCACTGAACCTTTAAATTTAAATATCAAATTTCTTATTAAATCAATTTGCACATCTATAATTAACTCAGGATTTTGTTTGAGGACCCTTACACATAAAACCATAGCAGATTCATTATCTGTTTTAAGACTCTTTTTTGATAAACTAAAGGACCATACGTCTGTTGTAATTGATACCCTCCTGAAACTTCTTCAATGTACAGTGTGGGACAAAAAATTTTGCCTTCGGTAATATTACAATAACTTTACAACCAACAAAGCAAATCACTTATAAAATAGCTCATTTAAAACTATGAAATGAATTGATTTTATTATAAAAATTAAAAAGGAATTCATTTGCCATTTCTTTCAATAATCGCTTCGCAACGTCTCTTCATTGAGCCTATCAAATTTTTTATAACAGAATCCAGAATACTCTCCCACTCCTCAATCATAAAACACTTTAATTCAGTGAGATTTTTTGGTCATCGCCTTTCTACATTGGTCTTAACTATGCTCCAAAGATTTTCTATGGGATTGATGTCAGGGCTGTTAGATGGCCAGTCAATAACTTCAGGCATATTTGCCTGAAGGAACTCCCGAGCTACAGCACTTGTATGCTTGGGATCATTGTCTTGCTGAAAGCGCCAGACACATCCTAGCATTTGTTTAATCTCAGGAAAGTGCTTCTGAAGAATTTCGATGTAAAAAAATCCCGTCATTATTTCTTGAAAGCAGAAAAGGCTAGTTTTTCCTGTTGCACAAAATCCGCCCCAGGCAAAAATTTTTGTACGATTTTTTGGAATAGGGTGGATTGGCTGTGCACCTTTATACCACTGTTTTATGGTATTTCGGAATAACTGAAAAGCAGTTTCATCTGAAAAAAGGGGTTTTTTCCAGTTATCATTAAGGTGAGCGCAAGCCCATTCTACACGTTTTCTTTTATGGACACTGGTAAGCATTGGAGTGACTGCGGGTAAATTATTTTTATAACCCAGACTGTGTAGATGTCTCGAAACAGTTCTATAAGATACTTCAAGATCATTTTCAGATAACTTAATTGCTATCTTTCAGGAAGAGAGAGATGGATCACGTCTCAAGTACTGGCCAATGGCCTTAGATGATCTTGAAGTAATTTTTTTAGGGCGACCACTCCCTTCTTTATGCGCAATACTACCAGTATCCTTTATTTTTTTAATATTATAATTAATCGTCCTTAATGGGATGTTAGTTTGTTTATGAATCTCTTGAGGAGATCGTATTCCATTGTTCCAAAAATGTAAAATAACTTGAGGGTGCAATCTTTTATCTTGTAATGTCATTTTGATTGTGATTTAAAAGGAACAACAGTGAAATAATTCTAACGTTGAATATGTAAACAATGTGCCACATAACACGATACAAATTTGGTATATATATTATTCGTGTGATACTCTTTAAATTTAATAAGTATACAGGTTTTAATTACATCAACATTGAAGGCAAAATTTTTTGTCCCACACTGTAATCTTTAATTATATAATTTTTAACTTTGTGACCCTACATATAGTTTCAATTGAAACAATTTAATTTTTTTGCAGGAGAAATAACAATAATAAATAAACAAGGTTTTTGTCATACAGGAAAAAAAGGGGGCAACCATGAAAAAATCCACACATAGATTTATTAATTAGAATTTGGCAAACAACCAATATCAAATACCCCAATAATTTATGCAAAATTATGCAATGCATAAATCTGGTGTCTCTATGTCAAAGTCTGCTTCTTCATTTAATCTTGAAGACATGAAGGCTTTGAATATGAAATTTGCTGGCTCAGAAGATCAAACAGAGTGTTTCCTGGTCTGGTGACATGAATGGTTAGCATCTTATCCTAATACCATAATTTTATTGATAACTCATTACCTTTTGTAGATACAGAAATTCCTATCTAGTTACTTCTTCCTAACATCTCAAAAAAGGATTTTGAAATTGGCATAAATGAGATTGATGATCTTGAACTGCCAAATCCTTCTTTTAAATGTCAAAAATGGTAAAAAATGAAGATGTTGTTTCAGGCACCTCTGAGACAAAAACTGATACCATTGTTATGACAATTTTGACTAGTCCGGCAATAGTATGGCCACTAAACCTTTCATAAGTTATCCTTCTTTTATCTCCTAAAAATTATGCATAATGATGTTTGCTAACCATTGCTCTCTATCATGGTCAACACCCATTACTTTCTTTTAAAATTAATGAACATAAAGTCAAAGCTGATTGAGAATTCACTATCACATCATTTGATATTAATGTTATCATTGTAGCAGTATGATTATGAATCAATTATTTGCAGTTTAACTACATTTTAAAGAATATATCAGTTGACTATGGTTGTGGTGAACTGCAGATTGCTACAGAACTTTTGGCAGCTGCATATGAAAACCATCAAAGGATGTTATGGGAGATCAAGTGCTTTTTGCTGTTTGGTTCATTTGTTCTTATTTCACATTTTATTGCTTTGAAGTCAGTAATAATACTTTAGAGAATTGGCTATTGGTTTGCAAGTTAATGAACATATTATCATGACACTCTGGTCAGGGAAAAATACTAAGACTTCAGGTATTGACCTAAAAACTGACATAACTCTTTACATGATTTTGATAAAATAAAATGATAAATGATGACTAATTGACAATTACTAATGTTAAATGTCAAAAATATATTATTGATGATGTCATGATTAAATGATACCTGACGAAATGTTTTGTGGCAAGAAATTATTTTGTCATAATTAATTAAAATGTCAGATATAATCAGCTTTAATTTGTAAATGTTAACTCAAGTGTTGATGATAACTTGTCTCCTTAGAATATTATTAGACAGAAAAAATATGACAATGTGACTCTGGACACATTTGTATTCAATTCAATCCATTAAACCAATAATGGCATAGAAGCTTTAATACAACAGGTTTCTAGATTATTTTTGCAGGGAAATCAATCAATCAGCTGAATAAACCCTGAACTAGAGATAAATCTGTTTTTCCCTTTATTTATCAGATCAACTCACTTATTTAAACTATGCTATTGATCTGCAATTAAAAAGAGCACAACAATCATGATTGTTATATTTGTAGTTATACTCTTAAGCCTAGGAACATAATCATCAAATCCATCATCTTTAAATACTGTTTTTCAAAAAATAAATAATTTATGAGGAAAAAATAAAAAAAGGAGCATTGCTTGAAAGTATTTCTTTAAATGAAGCCCTATCAGAAGTTCAAGATGCTCAAAATCTTAATGATGAATCTAACTCATTACAGCAGGATTACTTTTTAATGCAATGCTTAGATACAAAAACACAAAAACTCAAACATTGGTAAACATTTGGATGAAATTGATATATATTTAGATAAGACAGTAAAACATTAATGTATTCAAATGGTGGAATTCTGCAGAAATCATGGGAATGTGTATTTAAAAACGGAAAATACTATTATTATTACTATTACCACTCTTGATACTAAACGGTCAGAGTAAGAATATTCTTTAATGGTAAACCAAAATAATTTTTTGATCACGATCTTGCATTATTATTGGTCAATTTGATGATCAGCAAAGTCTTTTTTACGAAAATCGCAAGGACAACAACCGAATTTTTATTTATAAATCAATCGGCTGAGTCTCAAAGATTATTTTCGTATTAGGAGAGAAAATGTTTTTTTATAACAGAAAAAATTTTTAGTTATAGTGCAAGTCACTTAGTCCCGCAACTTTTTATTGGTCGTGTAGATTCTTCAAATCCTCCAAAAATGGAAATGCAACACCCCAAAATAAATCGTTACGATTTCATCTCGTGTTGTTGTGGAGGATTATTGAGCTTCAAAAGCTGCATAAGTTTACCGAACTTACTAAAATTGACAAAAAAGTTAATATAAAAAATTTTTTTTCTTTATGTTGCAGATCTTTTGTCACATGAATTTCCCAGATGAATGGATAGAGAATTTATATATACATAAAAAAACACTAAGCTAATACATATGTAAACTCGATAAGTCGGTTTTGGCCTAACTCGGCCAAAAATTTTCGCCCCGTTTTTTTACTATTTAAAAAAATTCGATAAGTCGGTCAATCTATATAAAGTCATGATAAGCGCTAAGTCGGTCAATCACTTAGCCCAAGTATAATTAAATGAATCGCGATAAGTCGGTCTCACGTGATATCTCATTATGTAAAGGGTCATCATTACTATTTTAGTAACGTATGATCTAATAATTTTTATTCGTAATATTTCGTCATTAGCAAAATGATTATTTGTAATAAAATATCTGATGTAAAAACTCTTTATTGTTCATTTTTATGTCATCAATTGTATCCATTTATTATCTCATTTATAATTTAGAAGGAAGAGAGCATTCTCACTTGTGAACTACAATTATGTTTTATGAATAATGTATTAATATTTTATTATCTCAGCAGTTATATCATCAATTGTGTCATTAATTCTTATCATGAATAATGCATTAATATTTTATTATCTCAGCAGTTGTATCATCAATTGTATCATTCAAATAATTCGGAGAACATTCTTGTCTAATTGCGAACAATACATCTATATTTTTTTATCTCATTTTTATATCATCTGCAGTACAAGAAGCTCCAGAAGAGGAAGAAGAGGAAGAAGCAGAAGGTATGATGAGTATTCGAATATCAAATACAATTGCCATTAATAACATCCAAAATCTATTTAATTATTTGCAACAAAATTCCGATATAAAAAGTTAACAGTTCAGTAATCTCAGGATTGAGAGATTTACAACAACAAATTAGAAGAAAACAAAATGCTTCACTAAAGCAACCTACTTTAGAAGAAAATCTTTATAATAGAAATAATCCTTAGTTTTTTTGATATAGTTTTATTATTATTATGTTTATTATTATATATTTTCGATGTTTATTATTATATATATTATATATTTTCAATGTTAACATTTTTTATTTTAATAAATTAAAAATCACGTGAAATTCGATAAGTCGGTTCTCTCGATAAGTCGGTCGCAGGAGTCCGCCCCAACATGACCGACTTATCGAGTTTACATATTAGTCACAGGACATGTCACATCAATTGATTTTCTATATGTGAAAATAAATTCGAAATTCGTGTCACATGAAGTTTTT